GTTTGAGTCCACAGTGATCTCTGGATGTAGGTGAACTACATCTCCAAAACCAAAGGACACTCTTTCTCCCACCCTGGACATTATTCCACAGATATATACACTCCACTTGCTTGACCACCAACAGAACTTCTGAAAAGATGCCATTAGCCGCAGATGCAGACAAAACATTAGGAGAGAATGCTGCTGAAACATAGCTCAAAAACACAGCTCAAAAAATTCACAGCAACCCAATGATTCCGGCCATGAAAGCCTTTGAAAACACAAGTCAACATCCGTTCCATTGAGATGCCTCTTTTTTTTTCTTTTTCTAGCTGAAGGAGAGGTTCCCAAATAGGCAAATGGAGGTCAGTCTGGCCATCCGAAAGCAGCCTCTGCTCCAAATCCGTCCTGATGGTCTTCATGCAAGCCTCTTGGGAGCAGCGGAAGTCTTTGTTGTCCAGCCAAATGCCAAACGGGTTCCTGCCTTCCTGTTCCATTTCGTAAGTGCCAATGAAAAGGGAGAAAATGGGATTTGGTTTGTGTTGGATGGGGTTCCACTCCCCATGAAGACTCAAATTTGAAGTGTGAATGCACTCTTGAACTGAGCACTGAATCTGGTTTGGTTTCTGCACTGGCTAGGAGTGCCTTTGCACACTTTGGCTCCATTTATATTGCATTTCCAAAAAGATGCAACTTAAATCCCCTCCCATTTAAAAACCACCCTGAAATAAAACACCTATAGCCATACTAAAATACTTTTCTCAATCCCACCATCATTACAAAGTGGGAAGTGAAACAGGGCCTTCTCGGTGGCTGCCTCTCAACTCTGGAAGTCGTTTCCCAAAGAATCATAAAATAATAGAGTTGGAAGGGACCACATGGGCCATCTTGTCCAGGCCCCTTCTGCCATGCAGGAAAATGAAAGCATCCCTAACAGATAGCCATCCAGCCTCTGTTTAAAAGGCTTCCAGAGACTGGCATGGCCTCTTCCCTGTTACCTTCCCTTTTGAAATGGAAATTGCTTTTAACTGCTTTATTATTTGGATTTTAATTGAACTATGTAAATAATTTCATTATTTTGATTCGATATAATATTTCCCTTCTGTATGTCTTTTAACTGTATCACTTCTAAAGTGGTTAGCTCAGGCATGGGCAAACTTCGGCCATCCCTCCAGGTATTTTGGACTACAACTCCCACAATTCGTAACAGCCTCAGGCCCTTTCCTTTTCCTTTTCCACTTAAACAGCCGAGGGGGAAAAGGAAGGGGCTTGAAAGTTTGCCCATGCCTGGGTTAGTTAGCTGCTTTGTTGTCCCAAGCCTGGGGGAAAAGCAAAGTAGTAATCTATATAAATAAAAATGTAATCTTCATTTGTGGGATTAACATAACTCAAAAACCACATGATAAATTGACACGAAGCTTGGGCACAATACACTTATCAGGCCAGTGAGTGACCATCACTAATAAAAACACCAAAAAAACACAGTGGAAGGAACTTAAGAAGCCAAAAAAGCAAAAAGACGCTACAACGCATGCGCAAAAACAACTCCCCTGGCAAACAAAACACACAATAGCATATCCACACTCTATTTCAGACTACAGCTCCCAGCATCCCCTAGACCAGGCCCTTTAGGAGAGGAGGATGCTCCAAATGCACTGCTTCCAAGATGCAAGCTTTCTTCTCCTTGGATTTATTTGAGAGCACCCCAATCCTTTCATGTTTCCAATTTCCTATTCCTGGACTGCAACTCCCAGCAATCCCCGAGATAGATAGATAGATAGATAGATAGATAGATAGATAGATAGA